CGCTCCATAAGGTGAAGAACTAGGGCGAATCCATCCTTTGTCAGTTAATTCCTGAAGTTGCTTGCGCAATTCCTCAAGTTCCCTAGGCGACATTCGATAGATAGGGCCCTTGGGAGTCTTACTTTCAGGAATGATCTCGATAGTGTGCTTGATAGCACGCTCAGTGATCCCAGTAGGTTCCTGAGATAGATCTTTATACTCATCTAAGAGTTTTTGTATCGATGGAGGATAAGGTGTCGAAGACGCACCAACTTCCTTTACCAACACCATCATTACCTCCTGATCCAATTGCTTCTTCCTGACCATCGATCGAAAAGCTGGATAGCTCATACAACAGAAAGACTGAGTAGAGTCAGATCCAGACTTGTGATACAGTTTGATGGTCTCGAGTTTTGATTGTGCGTTTTTCAGGTGTACTTCCTTTTCCTTGAACTTGATTTCTGGGTTGGCTTCCTCGTGCCAATCCATTCCCAGAAACATATCAAAAGGCAAGTTCTTCTCAATTGGGAAGGAGATTTCGTGCACAATCTTCTTTCCAGTCTTAGTCCTGAACTTACATTTCACACGATTGACATAATGAGAGACAGTGATCGTGCTTTTATCAGCAAGAATAGACGTGATAGGTCGTGCTAAACATTTTACCTTCATTCCAAGATGAAGCTTGCAAATAGCTCTCTCAGAAATGTTGGATCGTGTAGATCATGAGTCTAAAAGTAAACCCGTCCGTTCGTGTGCGATCTCTACATCCGCGAGTAATAGTTCACCCTTAGACTTTGCTTTCTTTGCCCATGAGCTTCGTAGTGCTAGCAACTCATTACCAAGCTCATCAAAGGAGTCATCCAGAGAGACAGAACATAAGACAGGTTCAGGGTGATCTAGATGATGGGCCGGAGGACATCCATCCTCTGCCACGCGAGTCGAAGAAGTGAAAGGGTTAGTAGGCGCCTTACCTTTCTCATCGTCTGACTTCTTCAACTCAGTAGGAGCAGATGCTACTCCTACTGGCAGCTCGCTTCTGGGTGTCGGATGAGTGGACACCATGCAATGATGTGTCCCTCCTTTCCACACTTTAAACACTGCGCATTGTCCATCCTATCCTGCCAGGTCTTTTGGTCAATCTCCATCTTTTCCCACGGCTTGAATGCCGCGATGCCTGGGTGCACAGGAAACGAGCGTGGTTTCCTCCCTCGACACGGACCTCATGGTCCTCCTTTGTTGACCACGGCAGCAGTGACGTGCCCCTTTCCAGACTCACTGCTGCTGGGAACTCCTTCATCTTCTAACGGTAGCTTCTCCACTGTGTCGTCGTCAAAGACGACAAGCATGTGGTCCTGACGCTTTTGGCGCCAAAGGACTCGCTTACCGTATCTCGCACCTGCACTTGCACCACCAGATTTCACCACAGATGCATATGACTGTTTAACTTGAGAAGTCATTTGCTCTCTCTGGAGAGCCAAATCACGAAACTGCCGATACTTGTACTTACCTGACTTTGACTCGGGCACTAACTGACCTCTTATAGGTTCAGGTAAGGCCCGGGCAGAAATATACAGGACCTGATCATCCTGTAGATTTAAGCCCGGTACTTGCAGCAATCGATCGACCTCACAGGACAACGCCTCCACAAACGTCTAATGTTTCTGACCTAAGGTAGTGAGCTGATCGAAGGCCTTATCGGTCGTTGTCTTGTCAAGGAAACGTTCCCGGATCTTGTCCAGGAACTGTTTCAGGGTCATCGTACCGGCCCACTTACCGATGTCATCGAATCCTGCCGCGTTGGCTTCGGCCAGGACCCACTCTTTGGCCTCCCCTCGAAGACATGACGTGGAGAAGGCGACCTGTGACTCTTCTTCCACTGTGGTCGTCCCGACGTAGGTCTGTATTTCTGCAATCCACAGTAATAAGTTTTCATCCTTCTTATTACTGAATGTGAAAGGCAATTTCATCTTTACTTTTTCTTTCTTCTTCGACTTCTCAGGTTTCTCTTCTTTGTCCTTCTTTCCCCCTGATGGGTGAGGACTTGATGGTGGTGGCGTCGGTGGAGGAGGCCCAGATGGTTCCCCCTTCTTTACTTCGACCTTGAGATCTTTCATAGCGTCACCCATTAGTTTCTTCACAGGTTGTTCCTTTCGAACCTCTTTTTCCTTTCCTTTGACCAAGTTAGTTACATTCTTCAATCCTACGGTCAATTCTTCCAACTTTGCTTCAAAATGGTCGAGCCTTGTCTCCAAGTGAGCGAGGTACTCAACCAGTTGGTTCAGTGCCACAACCTGTTCTTCCCGTGACACAGTTGCCACATGCTGTCTGACTTCTTGTTCTCGTTTTGCTTGCTGCTCATCTTGTTCTTTCCTCTTTAGCATTTCCGCCTTGCGCGTTTTCTCTTTTTCAAGAGCTTCTTTCAATTGGCGGATGTTCTCATCAATTGTCTGTTCCGTGACCACCACATCAGTTTTGGCATTTCTGCCATTTGCTATGTCTTCGAACTGCTGACAGATGTGCGCATCCAGTGCTTTACGGCACTGGATAATGAACTCCTGTATCTTCAATAGGTCGGTGCCAGTCCGAGCTGCATCCAGGTCTGCCTGGGCTTTCCGCAGATCAAACTGGGCCCTCACATGTGACTCAGCCTCTGCACCGGCGTCGTGCAGTTCAGTGGCCAGAAGGTTGAGCCGTCCAGACAACAGTTGTCGTCTCTGCTCAAGCTGAGCCCTGGTACGAGGGTGAGGGAGCTGCTCAACACTCTGGCCCTCAACTGGGGTCTGAACAGTCTCTTCCTGAGACATTTCAGTGTGGGGTATCTACCGCTCAATAAACAAAAATAAACAATAATTAATTCCGTTGCCCCACAGTTTCCAAATAGTAGATTACAGCAAGGTCAAATGACAGCAAAAATAACTGCAGAATATTTCCAATTATTTTTCTTTTTCTTTTTCTTCGCTGTTCTTATTTATCTAACTCAATGTGATGACGTGCTTTTGCAGGTACCGATCCGGACACAATGACCAGATACACACAGGTGAGTATGCCAGCACAGGACAAACAAACGACACAGGGAAAACAAGCCAACATCAACAGCAATCAATATGTCAKCATCAATAATCCCCTGCGYCAGTCCTGATCAAAGCAACAATCACCCTGYTGCGACWGCTGGCACTACAGCTATYMAATTAGYTGTACCGCCTCTGTCGTCAGAATGATCCTCCCACCCAAGCACACACGTGTTAATCACGTGACACCCTGGTAATGCCAACACAGCAAGTATAAACACCTGCCACATCAGCATCCTACAATCTATCAATCAATGAAGGGGTGCCACGTCAGCCAATCTGGTCCTCACAAGTAAAGCCACGTCAACAGGTGGTTGCAATATTCCCCCCCTGCCACGTCAGCAATCGGGGTCCCTGCTCAAGATCTCGTCAACGCGATGTAATTTCGCCACATCAGCAAGATCTCTTCTTCATCTTCAATACGTCATCATCTTCTTTTCACCGGCGTGCGCACTCTTCTCTAGTCTTCTGCCACGTCAGCAGCGCGCGTCCGGATCTTGATCGCGATAATCGTGAGCACGTTCGTCGTCGTGATGTCCTTCGTCGTCGATGTTGATCCTCCTCGTGGACGTGATCACGTTGATTACGATCGGCGTCTGCGTGATCACGTTCGTGATCGTGGTCGTGATCGTGATCCTCTACGAAGTCATCATCGAGATCCCGATCAACGCAATCATCATCGTCGTCGTGTTCTTCCTCGCCGTCGAGATTACCTACGTGATTGTGATCTTCGTCCCGTTATGATTTTCGTTGTCGTGATGCTTCGTCACGACAATCTTCTCCAGCATCGAGGTCATGTTCGTGATCGTGTCTTCCCTTGATCACGTTCGTGATCGCGACAGCGTTCGTGATCTTCTACCAAGTCATCATCAAGATCCAACCGACACGATCACCAATGTCGACACGATATTCCACTTCAGCGCGCGTGCACGTGCGTGCGCGATTTTCGGAAGTACTGCTCTGATACCAAACTGCAATGAACCCAGGCGAGATAACACTCATTGAACATCCAGATACTGTTCACAGCAACGCACAAGCATCAGCGCTCGTGCAGCAATAGTCCAATGGCTCAATGACAAAGCAACTCGAGGAATCCAGTCTTGTTGATGAATAATGTCGAACAGATCTGTTCCACTATCCGAGTATATACATACATAGACGAGAGAAAGAGAGGGGGGGAAGAAAAGACTTAGAAGAGAAGTTGCCCACTTCTCCTTCGGGCCAATCAGAGTCGCCCCCTCTCCAGCAGCGTCAATCCAGATACAGATCTGAGTTCCTCAAGGTGCCACGTGGCACATCAGCATTCTCTTCATCAACGGAGCAGCAATGTCATCTCAATAAGCAGGTACGTGTCATCTCAACCCCACAGTCCCTGACCTCCTTCCGGACGACGATAGCCTGAACAGCGAATGAACACGTGGTATAGCTACGTCACCAACACACTACGTGGCAGCAGCCACGTCAGCAACGACACATGGCGCTGCCACGTCAGCACCTTGTAGACAAGAGCAAGCCAGCCCCCATGCCAGCAAGCAMGCAGCATGTCGCCGCTGAGGAACGCCAGTGTCCAGCTAGCAATTAGCCAGCACCTCACAAGCCAGCGTCACGTCAAAGTAGAGTCATCCTTGACTCGCGACAGAATGAACCATGTCAAAGCCAGGAGTCAACTTTAAGTAGTGTTGACTCGGGGTCAATACCCCGCTGCAGTGGTCCTGTGCCGTCAAGATCTTGATGCGGCGACGGCCTGGATCGGTCTGCAACTGTTTCTCCCTTGGTCCGATGTCTTGGCCCGGTACCTGCATACAACACATGTGTGTATCTGTTCGTGCACTTGGGTACGGTACCTGCGACCCGACAGTTGACTTTGACCTTTGAATTTCCCCAGTCCAGCGCTGGGTCTCACTGGCCAGACGCTGGGCTGGGCCGGGCAGTGCGTGGTCACACAGCCCGGCCTCTGCAGAGTGCGGGTTACTGCAACTCGGTTAGCCCTCAGCCAAACAAAATTACGAATCTGTCCACAGCCTCGACAGAGAGAGGCTACAGGCGACCAGAAAAAAGCAAGTCATTGCATCGTCATACTATTATGCGCTGGTTTCTTTTTCTTTCTTTTTTTTTTTACCAGTCCGGACATTTTTGGTGTTCGGGGAACCGGCCCGGACCGTCAGGGTCCTTTCCTGTCCGGTGTTCCGGTACCTGTCCAGATTACCGGACGTCTGGACCAGTCCCTGAAAATGTCTGGGCGTCCCGGGTCCGGGTCCGCGGTTACCATGAACCATATCCTTGTTCTAATATTTTGTACTGCCCCAAAACCATTATCCTAATATTTAACACTATCCTTACCTATCTAGTTTTGCCTAATAGATGCCATAGTACTCCCCCCCCCCCCCCCCCCTCCCTTCCTGATAGCTACGGACGGATTAAGGAATGGGCCAAAAGTAATCTTTCTTGCAGCAGAATCAATTTGAATCAGCAAGGGGAAAAAAAGGAGAAGCAGTGTGTATTCGTGAGATCATTGCATTTTCTTTTTTTGGGGGGAAAAAATACAAGAAAAACCAAAAAGCTTGAAAAACGTTGGAGAAACCTATATTACCAGACTGTCTGGCCCACATTACCCCGAATCCACCTATTAGAAATGTCTGTCTGGATGAGTCAGAAAAGGCGCGGGGAGCAATCATTTCAGCCCTGGACCAGGATCGAGGGCAGGGGCAAAAAGCAATACAGACATTCCGATGCATAGCATTTAGTCAACTCAAGGCTGACATACTCTCTGGATTAGTCCAGATACCACGGAATGGGCATCAACATTGAGCACTTTTTTTTCCCCCCCCCTGCACCGTTTAACTAATTTTGCTCTTCTATGGTGTCTGAGAATCAGTTCATGAACCTGCCTCCTTGATTAATTGCCAGCTGGCAAGTATAGGCTGCCGATGCTTCGTCGATAGCCTATTGGGCAGTATCTCCATTCTGAGGATCACTTCTTGTTTTCTTTGTGACTGGTGATGCGAAAAAGCAGTGATTAAAACAGAAAAAGAAGGAAAGATAGAATGGGAGAGAAACATTTTTTAGCAAATGCAAGCTGCCTTCTCCTCATTTGGGGGACAGTGAAACGGTTTTCACCTTTTTGCAGTAGTAGCCGCAGATCCCAGGGCTCGATCCCTAGACCCCGACCTCACCTGTGTACAGTATCAAGTCGACCCCTGTGTGTTTGAGCCCGTGACCTGTGTCCTGGTAGCTGACTGTTGTCTGTCATAGGTCCGTGTAGTTGTCAGGTTTCGATCCATAGGTGTGTCAAGTCGGGGTCGTGGCTGTGTAGAGGTCATAGCTGTCATAATTTTGAAAGGTCAAGGTTGTAGCCGCTACAGCCCTGAAAGGTCAAAGTCGTAGCTGCTACAGTACGGAAAGGCCAAGTCCACAGATTTCCGGAAGGTCCGGAAGTGGCCTTTCTAGAGTCGCCCAGGGTAGGATAGAGGCAAGTGGGCAAGTGGGCAGTCCAACTTGTAGAGTCAGCGGTACCCAGTCCCAGTCGCACTTTGTCAAGTCAGCAAGGACCATGTGGGGCTGAGTGCACCATGGGCCCGGTGGAAAGGAGCAGACCAACGACCAAGGAGCGAGGTAGAGAGAGAGAGAGGAGGGAGATAGGAGTTTCTTCGGTAGGCGTCTCGGGTGGAAGCCTCCACGGAGGGCCTACAGGGGTTGCTTGGGCTCTTATCGGTTTGATCTGTCCAACGGGTTTTTTTGAGGCTTGGTCGTGTTTGTTTGCTAAGAAATACTGGCGAGACTACCCTCGTCGCAGGGGTCTCTCGAGTTCTGAGTGGTGAGGTCAGTCCAGTGTATATTCGAGGGAGCCCCGGGGTCTAATGAGGGCCTTCTAACGGGATGAGAACCTCCCTGCGTAGCCGGGTTGGTCAGAGTCCTTCCTCCATGACACCGGTCTCCATAAGGGAGGAACTAGCTCAAAGGGTGAGGGCAATAGACGCGATGAGGACTTCACCATCAGCCCAGCAGTTATGATTGAGAGCCTTGAGATTGCGCCGGTGGAGTGGGGCTGAAATTTGAAGGTGGGGAGGATGAAGGTGGGCAGGTGGCACTAAGGATGGGCAGGTGTCACTAAGGACCAACATACTCCACGACACATCGGAACTGGGTTACAATCCTAGAATACGATCACCCCCCCCCCCCAACAGTACCGTGTACCGTATGCCATGGACTCTTTGCGTTCACTGTGAAAGCAAATCGTCGCACATTGAGTCTGATTGCGATTGTGTAACCCCCCAAACCAGCAGCACTGGAACAGATATATATAGGAGAACAGCAGGGGGGAAAAAAACACTGGAGCAGCACTGGACTCTTCACCTGGCCATAACGGGGAGAGGCAACGAGTGGGAGTTATTGATGTAAGGGACGCTGGACCTGGTTTCCAGCCTTTATAATAAATAATGACGAGGTTTCAAAGAAAAAAAGAAAAAAAAAAGGAAAAATAATGGGAGAGAGACCTAGGCTACCAGCCGGGCCGCCCGGGTCACCTCGTTTGCCAGGGCTGCCCGGCTGTGCAAGGACCAAAGAAGGTCCCAGCAAAAAAAATAGAGAAAAAAGAAAAGAAAAAGAAAAAAGAAACTATGATATGCAGAAAAATAAACTGAACAACTTTTGCCTCAGTGTCACATCGAAATTCTTATTCAAATTTAAAATAGAAAATAGAATCAAAAAATATATTTTTTATTTTCTATTTTTAATTATTTTGGCCCGGCCGGGCAAGTGGTGCCGGGCCACTCTGGTAGCCCAGAGACAGAAAATTATGAACCATCACTATACGATTCCAGTATTTTCTTGCTGGCTTGCAGCTCCTTTACAAAGGAAACTGTGGATTGTGGCTGCGAAGTGGCAGGGTGGAAAATTGACATATGTCATCCTATGGTTCATGTTTGAAGCATTGCACATCGAACGGTTAGCAAGCTCGTTGGCTTTTGAAAGAAAAATAAAAAAAGAAAGAAAAACAAATAAAAAAGGGGTAACTAGGGCGCAGTCACGATTTCAGCTTTAAATCCAGTTCAGGCCTCCCTCGAATACAACACATCCCCACCCAACCCTAAAGCTGGGTTGTATACGTTCACAATTTTCCTCCGTTTGACACAGCATTCGCAAAATGGTGACTGAATTTGACTGAAACACATTTTCAACAAAAAAAAAACCGTGACAGCACCCTACAGTAGTTTTCCCAACAAAAGAAGGTTGATGTTTTCGGAGAATTACAACTTCACCAGTTAGCAGCTGGTATACTTTGGGACAGCTTGGCCTGGGAAATGGTGTCTGGACCAACTTGGCGGATACCTGACAGATTGCCGAGTTGGAACTTGGAACTTCCCACGTGTTCGTTTTTTTTTCTTCCAAAAAGGGCGGTGATGGCCTTGAAATATCATCATCGAACTGACCAGCCCTAGGTAATTCAAAATACTAGAATTCTAGTATTTTACTCGTCTTCTTCCAGTGGAGTTTGAACTCAGGTCTGCATTTCAACGGTTCAAGGGTGTACCAACTGAGCTAGGTCAGTTGGCAAACCTGCCATGTGTTGATTGATTGACAGCAGGTCCAATCCTCCTGCCACCTGGCAGGTGGCCAAGTAGGCTAACAGAGAGATTGGTCAGGTGACTTCGCAACGTCTATGAGGTGGGTTGGTATACTGCAACCTCCCACCTGGCAGGGTGGGAGATCGCAACTCTTGCCACAACATAGGTTGGTCACGAACTAGCTGATCAGACAGATTTGCGGATTGAGTTGGATCTACCATATGGCAGGCTGAGAGGGTCGCAAACCGGGTGCCACATGCCAGGCGGTAATCGGGAAACTAAAAAGTTTGGAAAAACGGACAGGTTGGTGACTGCCACATCAGATTGACAGCTCCGCACATGCCGCTGCAAACTCGCATGCAGTAGATTACACCATTGGCAGGCGGGAATATGATGCCTTGTAGATCACCAACGAGCCAAGCTCAGTGGGGACACCTGCAAACTGTTGAAAATACAGAGCCCAGTCCGAATCCAGATACAATCAGATGCCCAGAAAGGGCCAGAATGACATAATTTTCTGAATGACCTGGGGCTGATCAGCTTGAATGATGATATCTCAAGGCCGTCGTCCTTCTTTTTTTTTCTTTTTTTTTATTTATAATGATGCCTTGTAGTTTGCAAGGTTGGCATGTGGCCTCTGACAGATTGACAGGTTGTTTCCATATCCCAGATTCTGCCACGTGGCAGTAGAGGATTGATTGGAATTCTCTATGATGCTCTGGCGCTTGCAGCTGGCTCTGTGGATTTATGTGGCCATCTGAATCGTCTTGTGGAACGCTTTGTGCTGCCTTTTTTGCTGCGAAAGCTGCTAGTGTTTGTTAACCACCACTACCTCCCGGAAAATCCCTCAAACGACCGCCCTTCCCCCCCTGTTACATGCTGCGCCTGCACACGAGGATAATTTTCCATGCCCTGCGTCCCTCAGGCTGAAAGCCTGAAAACCAGGGCCTACAGGCCCCGTGTCTGTTCAGCCCGAAAGCCTGAAAAACAAGGGCCTACAGACCCTGTGTCGTTTCAGACTAAAAATGGCAGTAGCCGTTTTAGCCTGAAACGAAGGGCCATTTTCGGTCTTTCATCAGACCGACCTGCCCTGAAACTCAGGCACCAAACCAG